TATTATTAAAATCACTGGAGTATTTGTATCCATTATTATGTCTTTCAGTATTCTCTGCATTAATAATGTGCATAATCTTGTGGTAATTTACCCAGTTGAAAAAAGTATGATCAATTCCATGTGTAGAAGTGAATATATATTTTTTTTAAATAGAAAACACATTTAGTTGTGTCGTACGCGCATTTACGCACGAACAGACGCACCCACCACCCCCCCCACACACACACACACACATAGAGTTTAAGAAGAACTCACTGGGGACCCAAGAAATAGTTCTCATTAGAAATTATTCCAGTAAGATTTCAAAGAAAAAAACAAATTCGGGGAAAAACAAATTGTTCTTCACAACAGAAATTGTAAGTGATCTGCACTGTATATACACACAAGTCGCATAGCCATTACTGCCCAAAGTGTACAGCCTCCACATATTCTAGGCCACAATATATTTCTGCATCAGTTTGTCCTTACATGGGTGGTTGACATGCGTTGTGGTTTACAGATAGACTATAGAATCTGCACTTTTCAACCTAATACAACACATTTCAGCACACCCTGTTAGTTGCCTTTGAGAGGATGCTTGTTGGGGGGGGGGGGGGGGGGGGGGCATGGTCCAATCAATTCATAGTTTCTCAGATGGGGTCCCTGAACCCACGTGTGCCTGCATGACAGTTAACCTGGACCGCTGACAGACACGCATTTTAATTGTTGCAGCTGTATACACACACATGCACACACACACACACACACACATATATATTTATATATATGCATGACGGAAAGGTACACACATGCACCCGCATACACAAATACATGACATAGTAGTTACAGCTTATCTGCCAGGATTCAATTCCTTCTCTTTTCCTACCAGCCCAGCTCTAGAATCAAACCAAAATCTCTAAAATAAATAAGGGACTATTTTCTGCTCAAAAGCCCCTATTTTCACCTTAATGCCTGCAAACTAGTCCACAACTCACATTCATATTTTGCTACAGGAAAGATGCATGCTCTCAAAATGTTGGCTTTGATTTCCTTCTGGTGCTTAACCATAGACTTTTAATGCTTGCGTTTCCATTGCTGCTTACTATGGAATCTAGATATTCAAAGTTTGTGACATTTTCAATTTCTTCATCATTTATTGTTTTTTTTGGGAAGACAAGCTTCGTCTGTGTTTTTGGACAGACATGATTAAATGTTCTACTCCCTTTACACTGTATGAGCAGATCATAATTGTCACAAACCTGGTCCTTTTTTGCCATTTCTCACTATGTTTTCTGCATATACCAGTTTCCCATGAATAAGGTGCAAAAAATATAGCGTTGAAAAAACTCTACGACTTATACCACGTTAGTTTATTTGTATTGAATGATTCGTTAGTAAATATCTCGTATAGGGCTTGTAATGCTGGTTCAGTGCCAATATGAAAAAAAAAATGAAAAAAAGTTATCAAATTAAACATTCTTTCCCCCTGTTTTTGTGCTTGTCTTCGCATTGACTGTTTCACATTTGTTACATCAAGAATTCCTGTCCACTTTGAGTCAGCCACTGGATATCAGCATTACCTTACCTTTCACAGCTGCCATGTGAGAAGCATGAAACCACTGGTAGAAAACTTCTGGAGACAATCTGACACCAGCAAGTGGTGTGAAGTAATGAACTATAGGAGACGTTTTTAGCTGGGTGAAAAAGATCCTAGGGTAATGGAGACAGATTATTCTCATGTTATTCAATTAATCAAGTAACAAAAAGTATTGTGAACGGCACTCATAGAAAGAAGTAGAAAGATAGAAGTGTGGCATTTGATCAGACACAGATGGAACTGAGGATGAGGCAATATAAGAAGCTAAATAACTATTCTGTATGTATGAGAGTTTTGATTATGATGAGTTTTCTGGATTCTTTATCAAATAATCATTAGCTATTTTCAATTCATATGTAGCTGCTAAGTTGGACGGACAGATAATTCAACCAAATGTGAAGTTGGTAGAGTGCGGCTATGAGATAAAAATTTAGCTACATTATACTTCCTTGTGTTTCAACTCCTCCTCCATGCTGTTTTGTTGATGAGCTACCTTGTGTACATGGAGCAAATACAATAATTGTTTCTGGTATTGTTCCTTATGAAGATGTTGCAAGCGTTAATTTATGTGATCTGTGATTGATTCACTCATTATGTATATACATCATTCAGAACATGTATTATCTCTGTGTAAGAACAACTGACTCTGCCAATGTTTCAATGTCTTCTCTTGTATATAGCCAACCTGAAATGTCCGCTATGATTAAATGATGTTTCTGTTGTACTGGTGTTGGTTGACTTTGTTGTGTGTGGCTATTTTATCAAATATACAAACTTAGATCTGATTCGTGATGTGAGACTTGTAGCAGCACAAAACACAAGGATCTGTAAATATTCAAGTAGTACTCCAAAGTTCTAAATGCTAAAACCTTGGTAGAGATAAAAGAATAGAGAAATGCTAAATATCTATACGAGCAATATAAGGTCGATCTTGGTGTACCCAAGTGAATTTACAGACTATCAGTCAATTCATGAACAATTATGGGGAAGCTGTAGAGTAGTGGCTTTATAGCAGAGCAATGACAAAACCAAGGTCAGATCAAAAGTGTCATAATGATGGCTGAAGAAAAATGAATTCAAAACAGTGTTTTCCTGTTGTAAATTTAAATCATGTGGACACAAACAACACATGCATAATTTTTTGCCTGGCATATTTCACAATTAAAAATTATGTGGCACTACCTTTTTGACCGTCCCTCATAGATTTGATCTAAGTAAATATGTCACATAAAGATCTCACAACATATGGTAATCAAAATACAACAAAGTTTTCAGTTTCTAAGACATTTATTTAACGAGATATCAACAGTCCCAAAGACCACTTTATGTCATTCAACATTAACAAACTTACTTTGTCAGTAAATATTCAAAAATTTATCATAATGTTCATTAAAATTCACAAACTTATTTTAATACTAGCCAAAACTTCATATTCACAAATTTATTATAATGTTTATAAACATTCACAAACTTACTTTAAAACCAGCCGACACTCACAATCTTCACAGAGTCAACATTTACAAACTTATCTCAGTGTTATTCAACATTCACAAACTTATCTCAATACTAGTCAACACTGAAAAACTTATTTTAATATCAGCCAAACTCAAAAACTTCATATTAAACATTCACAAATGTATCTTAACACAAATCAACATTCACAAACAACGGAAGTCACGGGTGTGACAAAGGCCCTATAATGGCTAAATACTAACCAATGTAACAGAGTTAACCGATGCAGGTTTGCTCAGCGACTCACTGAGCTACACTTCTGCTACAGAAGGTCAAGGCCAGATACATACGGAAACACTGGCTCCATCTGATTCAGCACACAGCGTTTTGCAAAACACCATTTTTGTCCCAGGACATGCTGGTTTGAAAGGCAATGAGAGAGCAGATGCTCTGGCTGGTAATGGGACTATCAAGAATGGGCCCCCTATGAACAGGAGAGACATCATAAATGCCATATGAGAGACTAAACGCTGTGAGGTTTTTTATTTTTGTGGAAAATGATTTTTCACTGAATAGACTGCATACTCTGAGTGTACCAAATGGAGCCACGAGACAGGAAAACCATGCGGGAGCCACCCGTCGTCACACAAACCAGAACAGAATGGGAGTTGTTAGCCTAAAACACTTGGAGACATCCGTCGTTACATCAACCAGAACAGAATGGGAGTTGTTAGCCTAAAACACTTGGAGACATCCGTCGTTACATCAACCAGAACAGAATGGGAGTTGTTAGCCTAAAACACTTGGAGACATCCGACGTCACACAAACCAGAACAGAATGGGAGTTGTTAGTCTAAAACACTTGGAGACATCCGTCGTCACACCAACCAGAACAGAATGGGAGTTGTTAGCCTAAAACACTTGGAGACATCCGTCGTCACACAAACCAGAACAGAATGGGAGTTGTTAGCCTAAAACACTTGGAGACATCCGTCGTCACACAAACCAGAACAGAATGGGAGTTGTTACCCTAAAATACTTGGAGACATCCGTCGTTACATCAACCAGAACAGAATGGGAGTTGTTAGCCTAAAACACTTGGAGACACACTCAGGAGGAGATCAGAACACTTATGGTAATGTCTGATGTGCCATGAAGATTATCTCAAAAATGAACAACAATCAAACATTCACAAAACTTATCTTTATGTCAGTCACCATTCACAAACTTTATCTTAGTTTCAGTCACCATTCACAAACTTTATCTTAGTTTCAGTCACCATTCACAAACTTTATCTTAGTTTTGGTCACCATTTACAAACTTATCTTTATGTAAGTCACCTTTCAAAAACTGATTTTTATGTCAGTTACCATTCACAAACTTATCCTGCCTGTCAACATTTACAACTTCAAATCAAACAACAATCCCAAACATCAAACAAGATTCATAAACTTTCCCTTTGTTTTAGTCATCATTCACAAACTTATTTTCACATCAGTCAGCATCAGTTAGCAGGCTGGCATTCATTCAGATTCTATATCTTGGATGTGTTTAGATTTACAATTTTCTGCCAAACAAAACCTCCACTCATTATCATCTACATGCTAATGCTGTATCAGTACCTTGATTGCCTCAATGTTTTATTTGCAGAAGAACTTACATTCTTGCTGGTCATTAGTACAGGTTAATTAAAAAAGCTGGGTTTTGCCAGTTCTCATTTACTCATTACAATTCATCAAACCGCTTTCACAAGTGACAATTTGAAAATACAGATTCTTTCTCCAACACAGATCTAATATGAGGCACAATTGTTGGGCAGTAGTGACCCAGTTATCTCCCAAGAACACAGGTGTCTCAATGCTATTTCCAATTTCCCAGTATTGCCTTTAAAATTTCTTAACAAATATCACAGCATTAGATCGTCATCTCCAATCAGTGACAAATTATTTGTATACCAGACTGCACAAAAGAATCAACTGGACTTGAAAATGGCTGTAGTTAGTTGGTCTGTTTTCTTTATCAGCACTGACCTGTAACAGATGTAATGTTTCCTGAGATGGAATATATGCTACTCATCAAATTGTTTCAATAACTTCTATACAACCTAACGTCAGCTCTGCGGCTAAGTCGATGTGAACACTTCATAATGCCTAGATGCTGGGTTCGATCCCAGCTGCGGGCCATGCGCCTTGCATTGGTTCCGACAGTGGTATCAAGAAAGCCGACCGTCCAGAAAACATTGGCAAACTACTGGACATAAATTTGCCTAGAAAAACCACACAACAGCCAGGGGCTGTTGGGGTTGGTTCTGCAATGTCCTGTAAAGGATATGCAACCAACCTTTATACAACCAAACAGGTAAAGTAATTGTGCTGACTGACTTGTTCATGAACAGTTCACTCTTAATTTGTTTAGCAATCAGCAGACTTAGAGTTGTTTCATCACTTGCAAAAATCATGCCACTAAGAAGTCTTCACACCTCATAAAGAATGAAGGCTATAGAGTGGGTTGAAAGTAGTTTATCTATCCATGAAGCTACTAGACAGCTTGCAATGTCACACTCTACTTTCCAAAGAATTTCGGAGAGATTTCATTCAGGCCACAGAAAGTGTGAAGGATCGCCATGGGCGAGGTTGCACCACTGGACATGATGACCGGTACCTCTTGCTGTCAACCCTGTGCCATTGAACTGTGACTTGTCTCTAAGATGTCAGCTGACACTCATTTCACTCACACCACCATTCACACATGTTTATATGAAACTGGACTGGCAACTCGACGTCTGCAGTCAGAATGGCTCTTATTTCTGCTCATCACAAAGCCCATGTTGCTTGGTTACAGGAGCACATCTGATGGACAAGGCGACAATGGAGTCTAAGATCTCTTCACTGGTGAACCTCGCTTCACTGTCTCATTCAATGAGGGCAGGATCCGAGTCTGGTGACTACCAGGAGAGAGATTTACTGACGACACAATCCAAGTAGTGGGGGATTATTGTAGGGGTTCTGTCATGGTCTGGGGAGGCTTCTGCAGACATGACAGGACCCCACTCTACATCATCCAAGGCAAATTGACCAGCCCATCTTGAGATCACATGTTCAGCCTGCTCTGGAGGCCATAGATGTCAATGCCATCCTCCAAGATGATAACGCTTGACCTCATCAAGTCAGCATGGTCAATTTGAATGACATTATTCAGCAACATCAGGATGGCATGGCCAACTCATTCACCTTTCTCCAGCTGAGCACCTCTCGGATGTCCTTAGCCAAAAATTGTCATCAAATCCTCCTGTTCTGCACAGTTGACTGAATTTCTGCTTCAGGAATGGCAGACTGTTCCTCACGTTACTCTCTGGACCCTTGTAGACTCTTTGTGTCTCAGCTGTCCTGAATGCTTTGCTGCAAATGGTGGTCATGCCCAATTTTGAATTATCTAGTTGTCCAATATTTATTGTGTGACTTTTGAGAAAGTCAGTGTGTGTTTCCGTCTCTTTATGTGACATGCCAATTTGATATTCAATAAATGCTGTTTTAACTGATATTACTTACGCTTATATCAGATTTGTTTTATGGTTTCAACCAATGTTTTTTCTAAGTGCCCCTTGATTTTCAACAAGTAGTATACATAAATGGCAGAAACAAATTATAAATATTTGACCCCAAAAAAATATACAACCAAAATAATCCAATCATTGTAATACAGCAGTAATCTCTGATAGATGAAAGATTATTCTACTGAAATAAACCAATATTTAAAATGACAGTAGTTATATCAAAATGACTTTAACAACATTCAAAAGCAAAAAGGAACTAAACACTGTACTGAGAGCAACTGTAAGAAAAGGAGAGACAAACAGTGAGACTTACCCATGCTCTGACTCAAGGCAAATGACAGGACTAGGTGCATAGGACTGGGTGACAGCTTTGATGCCTGGACGGCTAGAGCACAGATTGATCCGTTACACTGGCCAGGAATGACGCCTTTTGCTGAAACATAAATAACTGGTTCCCACAGTTCCTATTGTAACATTATACCCACAAAATCAATTATAGTGATAAAACATTCATGTTTAAAATACATGTGTACATAAGAGTTTGAATGTGTAACTGATCAGTCAGTCAGATGCCATCTCCACAATGAAGGCTGGCTGCAGTAAATCTTCAATACACTTTATCTCTTTGACAGCATTGATAGGGAATCTCTCTGGACATTGATGGGGCACTATGGAATCCCACAGAAAATTATCAACTTAGTAAAGGCAACATATAAAGACATGAAATGTCGAGTTCTTCATGAGGGAAAGCTAACAGATGCATTTGAAATAAAAACAGGTGTGCGACAGGGATGTCTTTTGTCGCCTCTCTTATTTTTACTGGCTATAGACTGGACTATGAAAACAGTAACTACTAACACCAAGAATGGAATTCAGTGGACCCCTACAAAACAGCTTGATGATCTGGACTTCGCTGATGATATTGCTCTTCTGTCCCATTCACGGAATCAGATGCAAGATAAATTAAATATACTTAATGCGAGATCACAGCAGCTTGGTCTGAAAATCCATAAAGGAAAGACAAAGATAATGAGAATAAATCAGGCAAATAGTAATGTGGTTTCTCTTAATGGCACCCCACTCCAAGACTTGGAGTCGTACACCTATTTAGGCAGTAATGTAGATAAAGATGGAGGAATTGATAGAGATATTAAATAAGAATACAAAAGGCAAGAGGGGCTTTCATAGCACTAGGGAATTTGTGGAGGTCAAAAGAAATTACAAGAAATACTAAACTATTCTGCAGACCTGCCCACTCTACCTGCAACTTCGAAAAGACACCTGGCCTCAAGAGCAGAGTGTGCAGAGCAAGCTATGGGGAACCATGCAGGACCTGCAGCTGACATGCGAGTTCATAGAGGCAACCCACCTGATGGTCTGATCTAAACATACGAAACCGAACGCAAAGAAGAAGAAGAAGTATAGGGCGGAAACATGGAGAACAACCAAGGCAATTACTAATAAATTACAGACATTCATTAACGGGTGCCTTTAAAATGGCATGATAGAATTAATGTAGAACTTTGGAAGAGAACTAAACAGGCTTCAGTGGATCAGGAGGTGAGGAAAAGACGCTGGCGTTGGATAGGGCACACACTAAGAAAACAGGAGAACAGCATAACTAGAATGTCTTTGCATTGGAACCCACAGGGGCATAGGAATAAAGGAAGGCCAAAAAACACATGGAGAAGAGAGCTGGAGAATGAGGTTAGAAAGATTGGGAGGACATGGGGAGAGCTCCATGCAATGGCAAAAGATAGAACAACTTGGCGTGAGTTGGTTGAGGGCCTATGCTCCATTGGGGAATAGAAAGTCAGAAGAAGAAGACACTGTCTCTCATCCTTGTTGCACACACTGAAACTGCTGTTCATCCACCTCATTATGTTATCCTCCCACTTTTATCAATGCCTACCTCTTTACCGAATACCTTCCGCTTTCTCCTCCACTTTCCCACCCAAGTACAGTTTCATTAGTGTTATTTTTTTTTAAATGGCCAAAACACAGAGGTGTATTTAACTTGTCTCACTTATTTTTTTTTTTTTTTTTTTATTTAGCAAACACTCTTTCCATTGCCAGTCTCTTTAGAATCTTTATTTGAAGGTTTCCAATAAAAACTACACAATCTTGTGTATATCCATATCTCCAGAGCTTAATCAGTCTTTCAGTTTGCTTGTTTGTTGTTCAGGTTTCTGTAACTAAATTTTAAATGATCAATGATCCAACAGACTAGGCAGCAAAAAATAGGCTTTCTTCCTTCTTTTGCTGTCCACCTTGTGGTTTTTAGTGTGAGGTTGAGAGGAACTTTCAGGATAAGATTTCTGTGTGAGATGTAAGGTATTGTTCATAACCTTTGCTCTCCTAGCAAACCAGTGCTTGTCTAAGCTATGTTTTTGCTGTAGCTAAACATCAACACTGTTCACATACTTCTGTTAGTTCACAGTAATCTTACATGAAAGATCAAATCATTTGCCCTACTATTTTCAGTGAGCTGGATGTGGTTAGTCTTGCTGTATGATGAAACCTTCAAGATCATAACAAGAAAATAGACAATAGAGGAAATTATTGCAGACAGATTGCAAACTAAGTTTCAGAAGAAAGACAAGAGCTGGCAACAATGATTCTGAAATCCTATGCATTTATTGTGAGACCTTTCCTAATATGAGTTGATATTCTTTCTTCTTAGCATTCACCGGCTGTAAAATTCAGCGGAAAGTTCTTGTTGTTCATCCACTTCTGGTCTTGGGTCTTGTTCTAGATCTTGAGATTTGCATGAAAATTTGATTTACAGATCTGGCTTATCTGTGTGCAGACTGCTGGTTCCTGGCCTCTCATGCAAATGCATTCCAACCCTGAAGAAACTCCCGAAATTAGTCCCCTTGTATGATATGCCTGTTAGAGAGGCAGTGGGTCAATTCTTTCTCATCCCAGAATATAGAAGTCCAAGAACCCTCAGAGGAAAATGAAATACTACTGCCTGGAAAGACAGAGATGTCAACAAAATCAATTAATTATATTGAGCTACTGTAACGTATGTACAAGTAGTGTTGTAGTGGGGTATCAAGACTTTGCTCTGAACTTTTTTTTTTTTTTAACTTAGGAATCCCTTCTGCTTCTTGTATATTCAATATCTTGTTGTGCCAGTATATGTTACATATGGCGCAGTCTACTGCTTTAATCCGTTCTACTGTGTGCAATCTTTTCAAAATCATGGGTGGAATTCAGTCCAGCCGCTTTGGTCTTCTCTCATCAACGTTCATCTTAGGGATTTTTGTTTTGGGTGTCCTCCCCTGCTTGATCCCTTTTCCCCACCTTAATGCCTGTTTGGTGATTCTCTGCTGGTTTCTTCTCAGGATGTGTTCAATTCAGCCCCATCTTCTCTCTCTTGTAACTGCTTTTTTTTTTAATCAATAAATGTAATATTATCATCTAGAAAGACAGAACGATGAAAAGATATGGGTCTAATCAAATAAGCACCATCTCTCATGGGGCCTTATCTTTCCACATAAGGTGTGTACAGAAAAACACAACAAATTCCCCCCAAAAAATCTGCAGAACGCACAAAAAACCTCTACAAGCAGAATTTATTACACACGGTTACAGAATACAAACCTCCAAGGCAAAGTCCATTGTTATCCACACATATAATACCTGAAACCCCTGGCAGGCGGAATCTGTAATCAAATTGTTATGAAAATCATACAATTTATTTTTTTTTATATCGAACACCGGCTGTGAATTCCAGTGGAAGGTCCCGGTTAATCGTCCGCTTGGACTTTTGGCTTTCACCTGGACCTGATTTTTGCGTGTACAACCGTTTTTCATTTCCCTGCCTCATGGGTAGCTGTACTCCGACTTCGAAGGAAATCATACAATAATTTCATGGTATGAGACAAGCAAAGACTGAATAAATCTTCTAGTTAAAGTTGTTTGCTGAAACATAACAAACCAACTTTAGGCAACTATTATATTGCAGCTTAAATGTTTTATTTGCTGCATTGTTGGATAAAGATCTAGAAACTGCAGCCACCATATCTCAAAGGTTTATAATGTTTACTATTTAACAAACGGAAAAAAACTAATTGAATAGCTTACCAAAATGTCTTCAATTTTTTTAGGCCTCCATCACTTATTTACTTTTATTCAACATCTACAACTGTAACTGAGACATTATCACCTCCTAGACTGTTCCAGCACCCTCTAGAGTGTGGTAATGTCTTTTGTAAGACAAAATGTTCCTTCCTATGGTTTGCCTTTGGGCTGCTATCTGAAGATGTCACCAACCTGAGATTACAAAAGCCTTTGTATGGCAACCCAACAGGGCAAATTCTGGATACCCTATTCAACCTCCAAAGACATTTTAATTAGTACACCAGTAATGGTTTCACCAGCCTGCTGCTGCAGTCTTTCCTGCATGTAAGGTTTTTTTTTTTTTTTTATTCTTTGCGAGAATAAGAAATCATATTCTATCTCATAGACATAAGTGTTGTCCATTCTTTCTTGACTGGCTGAGTTTTTCTTTCTTGACCGGCTGAGTTTTGCTTCCCTTTCTTTCTTGACTGGTTGCATTTTTCTTTCCTTTTCTTTCTTGATTGGTTGACTTGTTTTTTCCTTTTTTTTCTTGACTGGCTGAGTTTTCCTTTCACTTTTTTTTCCTAACTGGTTGAGTTTTTCTTTCCTTTTCTTTATTGACTGGCCGAGTTTTTCATTTCTGTTTTTTCTTGACTGGCTAAGTTTTTTCTTACCTTTTCTTTCTTGGCTGGTTGAATTTTATTTCTTGATTGGCTGAGTTTTTCTTTCATCTTCTTTTTGAATGGCTGAGTTTTTCATTTTTGTTTCATTTATGGGCTCAAATTACATAGGTGAGTTTTTCTTTCCTTTTTTTTTCTTTACTGGCTGAGTCCGCCTCGCTGCAGAAGACATGGGTGAGGAGTATTGTCTGGATTTTTTCACCAGGCTATGCCGGTGTGTTGGGAAATGAACAGGCGGACAGACTGGCTAGCTCTGCACAGCTTAGTGGAATACTGATGCATGATAAGGCAGATGTGGTTGGTGCCTCGTGGGAGAGCTTGTACAGTTAGGAGGAGCAGATTGATCACTACATACAGCGTGGTGAGATTGATGCAGTTGGGGGTGACGAGAGGTTCTGGCAGATGCTCAAGGCTCAGAGGAAAGGCAAGACGGAAGTTTAATCAGAATGCTACTGGCACCATTAGTATCGGAACTCTTCGCTGGATGCTGAAGATGGGTACAGAGCACTTATGGGAATGCCCTGAGTGCTGTGATGGCGGTTCTTGAATTAAATCAAAATCAAATCTTTATTGGCTGAGTTTTGGCTCTGATTACATAGGTGAGTTATCTCCCCTGTATTCAACTGTTCCCAGCATAATCACTGGCAACTATAGTATGTTCCAAAAGTCAAACTAACAAATATCTCAAAAACTCCTGTACAGATCAAAAGAAATTTGTGCATGTGGTCTTAGCTTTTCAAGTTCTTATGATTTCATAATTTACAATTGTATAGATGCTGTTTTCTGATAGCGTCAAATTTCTTTGATCTTTGCCATTTTAATAATTTGTGAACCCCTAAAAAGAAAAACAAAAACAAAGAGCGTACACACAGTAATTGACACAAATCGTGTACTTTTCAACAAAATAGTATATTTCTCATCCTTTTTGGGATGAAATTTTTCGTTATTTGAAGTCCTACTCTGGCTTTTGCCAGGGGCCGCAATGTAGCCTGGCCATAAATATGGCCTAATGGCTGAACGCAGTTTCTGGGACCTCTCCACGGTGATCCTCACCTACACGGTGGCACATTGTGTCATCGGGTGTTTATCGCTTGTGTGATGTCCTGGTGGGGTAGAAAGTCAGTCAGTCAGTCAGTCGTGTACTTTTTAATGAGCCAATTAACCATCATTATGTGAGTACATTCCATATCCACTTCACTATTTAAAATATGTGCACCTTAGTTTCTCACACTGATTACCTCCAAAATGCATACAGTTTGATGTTTCACCAGCTTTGCTAACTGTATCCTTTAAATTATTGTATATTTTTTCTTTTCATAATACCACTAAGGCAAAACAAAAGCTAGATGTTTGTTTACATTATAATTATTTTCCTACAAGGACATGATTATTAACAAGTTGCATGCCCCATTATAACAATTTACAACCAAATAGTTACTGAGTTACAGATTTTTAAAGCTGGGCAAGACTTTTGGAAGGGACTATAGAGGCAAGTTACATGAAAATAAGCTTGACACTTTTTGGTTTGTGTGTATGTCTGGTGTCATGAACATAAGTAATTAATATTAACATAAAATCCCAGTAATGGAGGTAAATCTGTCCGAAAACATCCATTATTTTCTTTCATTATGCGTTATGACTCACGGAGGGAAGGACAAAGAAAACTAGTTTTGCCCTCTTAGCTAGTTTAGTTTAGTCGACTGATCAACATTAGGGCACATGGATGTGACCCATAAGTGCTCAATGCAGTATAAAATCTCTGTTGCACCAGCTAGGATCCTGAAATACTTTGGGTAGATTTTTTACTCCAAATTTTGCCCGGGCAGCACTGTAAGGCTACTCTAACTGCCAAGGGATTTTTTATGTGCACAGCAATACACATGGGCATCCGATCTTACTACCCAAAGACCAGGGGGAAACTACTAGAAATTCATGTGAAATATCCCAGTTTTAATCGGGGTATGAACCTGGGACCTACAATACTTGAGGCGGATGCCATACCTCGAGAGCACGCAGGCCGCAAACGCCCATTGTCTAAAGGTGTGGCTATATGATTAACTATTTATTTATTGTAAAAACTGACAATTTTGTTTTTCAACATGATATTTTATTTTAATTTGCTCTAATAATATCAATGGTATCAAAGGGCAAATGGATGTTCCTCTTTGTTGCCTACCAACCTTTACTTGAGAGTAAAAGGGAACTCCAATGTTGGTCATTAACTCATTCCTGAGGGGAGGAAGAATACTATAAAGAACAAATATCAAATGAGATTTTCCCAATGTAATTAACTAAAAATAGTTTAATCCATTCACAGCCCCAAATCTTTCACTCAAAAATCAATCTCGGAAATCACTGCCAATATATGTTAATTACATATTAAACACTGTACTTATTACTGCTTAATCACTGTGACATATTTACTCGTCCTGGTGACAAAAATTTACTGTAGTCCTACAAAAATAAAGAGGCTCTCCTTTAAACTACGGCTGGTAGACAACAGTAGACGGCCGGTTAGTCGGAGTTCTGTCCCCTGGCTGCAGTGCAGTTACGGAGTGGAAAGGAGGGAACGAAACAAATGACATAATTACTGTGTGTTGGCGATAGACAGCGTGCACTGCCCTGCTATAATCATACGGTTACGGTTTGGGTTAGAGTTTGGGTTAGGGATAGGGTTAAGGTTTTGGTTAGGTTTAGGGTTTGGGTTAGGGTTAGGGGGTAGAGTTTGGTTTAGGTTTATGGTTAGGGTTAGGGTGTGGGTTAGGGTTACGGTTAGTGTCGCCGCATCTCGTCTTCGCACAAACTCAAAGTAGCAACCCAAACCCTAACCCTACCCCAAACCCTAACCGTATGATGACAGTAGGGCACTGCACGCTGTCTATCGCCAACACACAGTAATTATGTCACTTGTTTCGTTCCCTCTTATCCACTCCGTAATGTGTCGCAAGAAGCGTTAATTGAACGCGGTCGCCAATTTGAGTCGCAGCGCGGGGTCTGCCAGGCATGACGACCTCACTTTGTGTTCTGATTCGTGCCTTCTCCAGTCCGTAATTGCACTGCAGCCACAGGACAGAACTCCGACTAACCCGCCGTCTACTGTTGTCTACCGGCCGTAATTCAAAGGAGAGCCAATAAAGATTGTTACAGAAATTTGCTTTTTAGGATTAAAAAAAATCAATGGCTATTGTTTGGAAGGGGAGTCCCTTTCCATTATGACATCAGGTAATGTCACTTCTGGTGATTGTTGTCCTGATGATTCATCAGCATGTCCAGACGATTGACCACCGCTGATTATTTTTTTTAAAGAAATTATCCAATGTGTCCAAACACATTGTTATCAAATAAACTGAAACGATGATTAACTATAGTGATGTCTGGGTGCCATTTCTCTATGAAACCTGCATTGTTGCCCAGTGGACAGCCATTATGTGCTTTCAGCAATTGGAATCTCCCCTTTATCTTCCTTTTTTCTCATCTGATGACTCGCCTGTCATCGAGGAGATCCGAGGAATACTGACTTTTTAGGCAAATATCAAACAAAAATATAAACAAATTTTTTTTTAAAGTAAAGATTTCTTTTCACGCCTTTAGGCGCATCAGACATATGGGAAGAGCACCCACATTTTTACAGACCAATCAGCACTAGGTGAGTAATGTGGTCAGGATCTATGGCAGTAGTTAATTTTAATAGTTACTCATGTTGTGGTGACCCCTAGCCACACAATTATTTTCGTTGCTACTTCATCTTTAATGAATATGTGTTTTCTGTGGTCATCATTATCATCATAGGCGACCCCTGTGGTGAAAGGATCGTTGGACCCACAAAAGGGTCGCGACCAATAGGTTGAGAACTGCTGATCTATAGGAACGAACGAACCAACTTAATTTTGAAAGGGTTGAGAACTGGGCACGTACACAGCCCCTTTAAAAATGAAAGGGGTGGGGAGGACTGAGCCCCAAATTATCATTTTTAGGAGTTCTATAAAAAGGGGCCTAGTTCCCCTGGTTCCAGCCGCATCTGCTGGCGCCTGGTCCAGGTGATCCATTACTTCGTATTTTAATTTTATTTTCCAACTTACGCCTCATCCATTTGTTTTTCTAAAGCTTTCTCCATTTGTCTTGTCACTTTTACTGTAAATGTCAGTAATGAGGTATGATGACGTTCTCTGTTACTTAGATAAATCGGAAAATGTAACCAAAGAATATTTGATGTTGCCGACTTCGCTTGGCTGTGAGGCAATAATTGCAGTCTAATGATTAATTTGACCCGGAAGTTTTTCCTGATTTCACTTACCGGTCCGGACGTCTCGGTATTACTCTATATCTTTTCTCATAGTAATTAATTCATGAGCACTGGTGAGTGGTGCGTAAATCAAGAACTGACATCACTTTACTTGAGACATTCCTACATGTGCTCCGTCCTCTCCATCGGCAGTCTAAAAAATGTTAAAGAAAATTTTCCATACTGATTGTGCCAGTTGCAACCTGATAAAACGGTCGCCTGTGAAAAATCTGCCAGATCCTCTATTCGCCAACAACTACATTATTATCTCAATACATGGATACTCTTTATGTTCTACTGCAATGCCAACTCTCTCCCAGCGAAATGCCATCTTGTTCGCTATATCAAAGTGGTTACCGCCCAGAGAGATGGTGCAGCTAAACTTTCAGCCAGGTCATTACCATGCACACCTAAATATCACGGACAATACCCCCCCCCCCCCCCACCTCCTTTTTTTCCCCTAAAAGAAATCGGCGATGCTTCTATGTGAGTCTTTTCACGCTTTGCGAGAGACTGATGGCTTTTCTAGTCAACCACAGCATAAGAACAGCGTCAGTATTTCAAGATTGGGTGTACAGCTTTTTAATCACACTTCTAAAACCAGTTCATTCGAGATTCGGCGGTTTCAGGGTTTTTAATCTATAAAATACTTTTTCATCATTATCATGTAGCAAGTCGCTCTCATCACGGTCTGCCTGAAAGAAGCTCGGTCTCTCACCAGCTCTCCTGCCTCCTGTACTTTCCTATCCAAGGAGTCACTTATGTGCCTACCTTCGTTTTGGTCAGCCTCTACCCTTCCTTCATGGCACCATGCCTTCTGCTATTATTTTTTCCAGTCTGCCATAGCGCTCGACATGACCAAAATATTTCTGATTCCGAGACAAGATACTGTTTATTAGCGAATCTTTCCTATTCCTTTCTACAACATTTTAGCTCAAAAGCCCCTTATTTTTTCTTTCTACAGTAGTAGTATGCAAGTTTTATCCCACCAGGACATCACACAGAGCGATAAACATCCGATGACACAAAGTGCCACCATGTGGTTGAGGCTCACCCGTTGAGAAATCCCGGAAACCCCGTTCAACCGTTAGGTTATATTAGGGGCCCCGGCAACATCAGGATTGGGGCTTCAGAATAACGAAAAACTGCATGCCACAAGTGGACGATGAATTAATAATTTGATGTTGCTACAGGGAGATGCATATTCTCAAAATTTTAATTTTGATTTCTTTGCTGGTGCTTAACCATATACATTCAATACTGTTTACTAGAGAAGATCATTGCTGTTAAAAGACAAACGTGTGTGTGTATGTGTGCTTTTTTTTTTTTTTTTTTTTAGAGAGAGAGGAAAGAGCTTTTGCTAAGAGGTCTGGGCAGTTACCGGCCAGGGAAAGATACCTGGTCAAAGGAAGCCACATATGCCTTTGATGTTTATGAGTGGTTCCAGAATAGTCAGGAGACGGTAGTGCAACATTTGACCTCATGGATGCCTGCAATAGTCAGATATGACGTACTAATGTCTGACCGTATGGAAAAGGGATTATGTCCATGACTGGTTGCCTTCTGACTGGATACATGGACGTCAGAACTATGCCAAATCGCCTCGGGCAAAGAAACTCATTAGTATAAAGAAACATTCAAGACAAAAAATATTTGTAAGCAGTTGGCAGACGCCAACAGAAGGAATGAAATGGCAGAAGTGTGTGAAAACTGTCCTAGAATTAATTTATGTCTTATGTGTTATTGTAGTAAAAAAGTGCAATTCATATTAACAATATGCGACTGGCCACACTTAAGAATACAGGGCTGTCCTGCGGAAAAACTGGGTTCGAATCCTTGGTAAGGTTGATGACTTTTTTTATAAAGTAGTTAATTCTTTGCTCCATTTGTATTTGTTGATTACTTTTCTTTATATTACCATCATCTCTGCACGAAATTATGAGTAAATACCTTTAAAAAAATGTGGGTGTGTTTTTGGTGGCGATAACTGCGTCGCAGTAAAAACTTACTAAGATACCAAATATTTTCTGCTACTTCTTAGTGTAGTCTCATACATTTAGAACGAAACCTTTTTTTTAAAAGACCTTTGAAAAGGTCATGTTTTAAAAATTCTTACTGAGTCGTTAGTCGTTACGGTTCCGGCATCACAGCAAACGAGCTTGGTTCATAATTGCTCAACCGCCTATGCCAGTGATTTCAGTCACAAACTGAGTCAGATACACTGGATACTTCAAGTGAATGTCGTAGCCATACAAAGTGTCCTCAGTCAGCAAAACACACACGATTTGATCTGGAAAACCATAAGGTGCATGCCTCCTTAAGCACATTGCGAGACCAGGCGTCATCGCTGAAAATCAACTTCATTCGACGAATAGCTGGGCGATGAGTAGATTAAAACTATTCCTGGCCTTCTTACTGAGTGAAAAAAGTGAAACCTGCCTGACAACTGGTCCCAACTCTTTAACCCGAAAGACCACAATCTCAGCTCTTTAACCTTTCCAAAACGTCTGACTTGGACTTCACTTTCTGGTCAGTTTAACTACTGGTCCTCGCTCATTAGTTCTCCTGTTCCAACCTCATTTTAGAGATTTTTGCAATTTATGTTTCATTTTGCTCTGTGTCCACCTTTTTGATGTATATGACCATTGGTGTACAATAATGTGTTCCCTTGCAGGCATTTTCTCTGCCAGACCCTAAAACCAATCTCTACATTCTCTCTCTCCCTCATTTTAATGACTTAGAGTAAGCTGCTTTTGTGGGTGCCACTACTGCCTCATTTATGTCTCCTGTGCGACTGAATAACTATGGTCACTTGTCTGATAGTGTCTTTTGCTGGTGCCATCCATGAACATTCTCTTTTTTAATTGGCTTCCTTCAATATCAGTAAAGTTATTATAATTTATTACAAATCATTATTGCCGACCCAGCTATAGATCTTTGCAAGCGTCACTGTGAGACTCAACTGCGCTGACGAAGTGAAAATCTCATCATTCTGATGGTGGTCTCATGTGCAAATCCAAAGACTTTTCACAATCCCTTCATTATTAACATATTCGACTTGCCTGAAAACTTGTCAGATTTAATTATATTTAAATATTTGTGGTCTAAACGTAAGCAACAACGTCATGGAATGGAATGTATGACAAACAAACAATTATTAAAGCTTCCTTTCAAGCTCAGTAAGGGATATAAGACTGACTGAGAATTGTTCAAATGTATTTAATTCCATGGCAAATCATATGTAATGTTGCTGTTCCTAGGTTCTATCTGGACACACGGCCGCCCTGATCTGACCGTTGTTCAGTTGTTATGTTAGTCTGAACACAAGAGTGGATGACACACCAGTTAATACAGATCGCTCGGTTTATTGCTGTTCTGACAATCGTACTGTCCAGTTGTTACTCATGTTACACTAGTCGTACTGAGGTTTCCTGACAAATACAGTTGTAGAAAACATCACACGTCAACAACAGGTGTATTTACCTTTCGTTCCAGGCATCACGCTCATGCTGATAACTTGAATTATCACACCAGTGACACCGACTTTATAGCCACTTGTCCTTCTCTTCAGGGGCAGTTCATCGCAGTCATATCTATCAACTTGCGTTCGAGATATTTTGAATATTGTTAATACTCGCTCTTCATAGCAGTTCAAAACAGTTCTTCGACATAGCTCATTCGAACTTCTCACACTCCTGTCCACACACCAACTGCCACTATCTCATTTGTCCTTTAAAACCCTTCTTCCCTTCCCATGGTATTTGGTCTTGCTATTGTTCAGTCCCACATGTGAAAATATTATATCCAGTTTCGTCCTTTTTAGGACGAAATTTTTTGTCATTTGAAGCCCTACTCTGGCTTTTGCCAGGGGCCGCAATATAGGCAGGCCATACATATGGCCAAATGTCTGAACGCGGTTTCTGGGGCCTCTCCACGGCGATCCTCATCCGCATGGTGGCACTTTGTGTCATCGGGTGTTTATTGCTTGTGTGATGTCCTGGTGGGGTAGAAAGTCAGTCAGTCAGTCGACATGTGAATATAACTTCTCTTGCTTTACCCGTTTGTCACTGGCCTGTAACACCATTACGTCATCTCCGGAAACCCTTTATAAAACCCTGGGGAATTCCCTTCATTACTAATAACATTCCTAACGTCCTTCTTAGGACGTAATGTTTTGTTATTTGAAGCCCCACTCTGGCTTTTTCCAGGGGCCGCAATATAGGCAGGCCATCAATATGGCCAATTGTCTGAACGCGGTTTCTGGGACCTCTCCACGGTGATCCTCATCCGCATGGTGGCACTTTGTGTCATCGGATGTTTATCGCTTGTGTGATGTCCTGGTGGGGTAGAAAGTCAGTCAGTCCCTTCATTACATCATATCAAAACGCTGCTCGCAAGTCAAGGAGGCCATATTATGTATTTTTGTGAGGAAATTAGTGCACCTCATGTTAGAAATATGCGGCTGGCCAAACAGTTAAGAATGCAAGGGAGTTTAGAATCCTTTGTAAGGTTGGTGAATCGATGAGGTACAAGGTGGAGAGAAGAAGAAGACGAAGAAGGCAATAATGGTCCTGAAACTCCATGCTCTGACTATAAGAGATTTTTCTTAATGTCCACGGGTCTTGCTAGTTACATTTGCCATTGCCAGGTACTGCGATTCCAATAAATAAATCAATGAAAAAACCCCAATCAGAGAAGGAAAAAACTAACATAAATAAATGTAATCTGGACAGTGTTATGTAGAAATATCAGGCTAGATTTATTCAGTACTTGTTTTATTCAATGCTACAAACAATAAAGATTTCCAGAAATCAGTAAATGACTGAAAATGC